TGTGTTTTTAGTTTTTCACACTATTATTTACTAATTGTTGAATTTATTCTTGAGTTTGGTATTTGGAGCCGGGGAAGGAAAATCAAGTAGCTGCTGGAATTAGTCTTGCTCTTTAATGGATATTAATTAATGGGTCTGAAGGGTATCTATTCTTTCCATTTATGGGGCCTCGGATCAGTCCCGTATCGTTATATTTCAAAAATTCCGTCTCTGTAGATGCAGGTCAAATCAAAGTGTTTTAAGAAGAAATATTAAGTGTCAATCGTATTATCACCTTTTAAACGTATTGCTATAATATTAATTCGTATCATCACTTCTAAACGTATCGCTTTGTAAAAATAAAAATGTTTAACATAGAACATAAATAATTTTTTCCCCATGTATGAGTCTTTTTTTTAATTTCCATTTTCAGAAAAACTAGACAATTTTTTATATTGCGGTAAGAAATAGCTGACGAACCAACCTACCCTTGCTCATATAAGGAACACTTTTTTGTTTGTTTTACTTCTAAACCACAAGTGTGTATTCGTTTTAGGGGTTGCACCTTAATCTTTTAGTCACCAAATCTGGAATTAGTCACCAAATCTTGAAATGGTATATGGAATTAGTCACCAAATCTTGAAGTGGTTTCTGGAATTAGTCGCCAAATATGAAAATGGTATATACAATAAGTTGCCAAATCTGGAAGTGGTATATGGAATTAGTCTCCAAATCAGGATATCGTTATTCCTCATGTCCTGATCAGGAAAATGGAACAAAATTATGAAATTATTGTATTGTCATCGGTCCTTAACAAGTGTGCAAAATTTCGAATTAATCTGACCTTTTAAAGTGGGTAAAAATTGAGTTCAAATATTCCGTTACAAACAAGTGAAACTTATAAAAGCATGTTAATAATCTTCGAATTCGGAAAATTGCGCGACATCACTTCCTTCTAAAAACAGTAACAGCTGTGTAATAGCTCTATGTCATCAATCATTAAACCTCGCACACGATATCCAAAGGGGAGATGATGGAGTCAATTAATGTCAAGTTCAAAGTCTATATTAACCCTTGCTCGGCCTCAATTCTAGATCAATTATTTCCTTAGTATCTAAGTATTTCCCTAAAGCTAGCGGATCATTGATGATTTTAATAGCCTGTAGTATTTGATATTTACACACATTTAGTGTTTGAGAGTCATAAACCAGATCTGAGGTTCAGGTCACTAGGTTTCTAATTCACCTGAGTATTAAATAGTGAAGTACAAGTTAAAAAAAGTAACAAAGGTTAAGTACATTTTTAAAAAATTCTTGTTTTCAATGTGCAAAAAGGCTAGATATATGGAATGCGTTAATAAATTATATAAAAGATTAATAATTTTTTTAAAAAAATAAATATGTGTGACTAAACAATATTTGGCGCTAAAACCAAGTAAGTCAATCGTATAACTGCTCTCAAAAAATACGTGATGTATGACAATAATAGAATTAACTCATCAAATGAAAATCTGACGCTAATGATGTTTGCTGAAGTAAAAAAACAAGATATCAATCATTGGCATGGCCAAGTAATTTTAGCGCGTTTTTCACATGTTGTATTTTACAATAATGCAACTAATGAACATTTTACTAACAGAAAGTAGTACTGTACCACTCCTCTAAATGTACTACTATTGAGCTGAAAAGAAATAATGATACAAATCTGTATCAGCACTATAAAAAAGCAAATAAATAAATAAATAATTTTTCACCCTTGTAGTTTTAAAAAAAAATTATTTTCACTTTACACTATATATCTTATCACTTTATCACTTTTAGTTTTCAAAAAAACTATTTTCGCTTCACACTATATATCTTATCACTTTACTGTTAAAAAAAAGAATTAAATTAAAAAAGTAAAATCAGAGAGCCTTTTACACTTGTTTTCTGAACTCTTTTTGTGAAGATTTCCTCCAAAATGCAGGTAGATTTTTTTTAAAAAAACTTTTTGCAAACAATAAATTTACTAGGTAAAATTTGAGAAAATTTTGTTATAAACTAGCGAAATTCAGGAAAATTTATAGGAAAATTCGGGAAAACTATGGGAAAATTTAAATATGATTCGGCTCATCTAGGGCACAAATGCGACCCAATGGCGAAAATCCGAGGTCAATTGGTTGCTTATTGGCTGAGAAAAAGGTACGACAAAATATGGAACGAAGACGAAGATGAAATTTGCGTCCTAATAGCGATTTTGTTCCACTACGTGAAAAACGCGCTAAAAAAGTGGAGGGAAAAAACCCAAGACTAGAGAAAATAGAAAATAGTTCGAAAAAAATGTACACAAAAGTGAAATGTTTTGAGTACACTTTTTATATAACTTCGACCAAAAATATTTTAAATTGGATTAGATTGGAGATATTAAAATTTTATTGCTGACTATATTTCATTAATAAAACAGAAATCAATACTGATGTTAGTATTACTCCACAGCCAAGTCAAAACGCAGCAATCAGCTTTGAATTTGATTTTAATAAACAGAAAAGAACTAGGGGACTTCCGTAAGCTTCGTCCAAGTCCCTATTAGTAGTCAAGAGCAAGAAAGATCCACACGTTTGGAATTATTTATATTTGAAATTCTATCAACAGTTTTTGTTTTGTTATTAACTATATAACTGGAATTATATGTACTAATATATATGTATTTCTCCAACCAAACATATCTTGTATTTTGATTATATGTCTTAACATGTCTTGTGTGAATTCTGTATGCATGGGATAAAGTAAAAAGTTATGTAGATTCCGCCCCCCCCCTATTTTTTCTTGAATTTCCCTTTTTTCTACAGTTTCTGTTATAAGCTGAGGATAAAATACACATTCTAAGATAATTCTTCATCATAGGTTCCCAACCTTTTTTGAACTGGCACCCCCTTTTCTAGTGAATATTTCGATACCGCCCCTTCCCACTCCAGAGAATTAAGAGCGTACATAACGCATGGGGAAAACACGAATTAAATTTTTTAAAAAATATTCTATTACTAATAGAATATATTTTTTGTAATTTAGTTTTTTTCTAAAGCCCTCAATTTTTTTTTACTTGCAAATCTGAAATACCTATTGCCACGAATATTCAATTTTAAATACATACAATCAACGTAAGTAACCAGTATTGAAGTTTACTTTTGTTAGTACATAATCAGTGTATTCTTTTTAGTCTTTTTTGGACTATATTTGGTTGATCTGCCCATGCCCCTCCGTACCATCTCAAAACCCCCTAATTTATTCTGGGTTTTTTACTGCCCCCCAGCCTCAAACGCCCACAAGGGGGTATTATCGCCCTCGTTGAGAACCTATGTTCTACATCTGTTATACGATTAAACCCAAGAATTTCTGTGTAATATAGTTTTAAACCTCTGAAATAGATATTACACGTCATTAAAAGTGTTTTAATTCGTCATCCACTCTAATAGAAAGGTTTATTTTTTGTTGATACATTGATTGTGATGTTTATTAAGTCGCAGTCAAAAGCAACAAGAGGGCTATTGGCAACGAATTTCGTAATTTCGAGCCTCGGTCAAATGACGAAGAAGACATCTGAACCGGCATCTCACGCTCCAAACTTGAGCACTTAAATGAGGATGTTGATCTTGACAAATTTAATGCTTATAAGCTCTACTCCAAGATAAGTAGCGGAATCTAGGTTCGAACCTAAGATTCGACAGAAGCAACACCAATCACGCGTACGCAACTCAGCTACTACGTCCCCTTTTTTTTAAAACTAATTATTGTTCAAAATTCATACGTATTACAGTAGAGCGTCGTTTATCCGAACGTTTATTATCCGGAGCGTAAAATATCCGGACCAAAGTTCCGATACGTTTTCGAACAGTGCAATGCTCAATAGTGGTTTCGCGTGAGGCCGAAAGTGATGGGAAAACCCAAGATGAGGGATATTTGATGAATTTCAGTTGTGTGATTTGGTAAACATCTACGCGAAATATTAGGTCAGTTTGTTTCCAAGTGAGGGGGTGTATACGTTCGCTTTTGTTGAGTTGTGAACTGCCATGGCTTCGAATTCAAAACGAAATCGCAACGTCTTGAACATAAGAGACAAAACTTGAGATATTGAACCGTCTCGCGAAGGGAGAAAGTGGAGCGTCTCTAGCACAGTTTTATAAGGTTATAAAGTCAACTATTTATGACATAAAAAAAAGCCGATTAACCATTTTAAACGGTTTTCTGCGTTAGAGACAGCTATGGAGTGGTACGAACAACAATCAGAGTGCTGTCCTGCTCAACTACTGCTGCTGAAGAGAACCAGAGACCTTGCAGCGAAAAAACGAAGGTGAACAATGGTACAGCGAAAAATAAGTGATTATTTTTCACAATAAATGTAAATCTGCGATATTTTGCACCTATTTTGCTTTTTCTTCAAGCGCGTTTCCCGCATGTGACGATTTTCAATATTCGTATATAGTGTCCGGTTTCATATACTGCATGGATCGCATTCGGTTATCCGAACAACCGCGTATCCCAACTGTGTCCGGTCCCAATTCATTCGAATAAACGACGTTCTACTGTATTCATATAAGTTGAGAATAAAATTCATTATAAAATCATTGTCATTCATATTTTTAATAATTTAATTTATCATAAAATCCGACGTATAACGCGCACCTGTAGTTTCAAGCTACAATTTTTAATTTTCAGATTTATTCGCCGTATAATGCGCACTCCCGTTTTGTACGAAGAAATCTGAAATGTACGGGCGCAATGTTCTTATGTTTTGAAGTCATTTTTTCAGGTATAATTCCAAGTTTTAGAAAAACAAGTAATATATAAAAGAAAAAAATTAAGTCAATTCCTACTTTGGTCAACAAAGAAATTTTTATTTTAGTTACTTTTTAATAAATAATTACAATTAATAAAAATGTGTGTATGCATATGACAGAATCACAATATTAAGTGACAAAATAGAAATCGATTATCCACTTTCCTTTCTATATATGGTGTTGGGCTATTATTTTTTGTTTGTGTTACCATCCCAGGTAAGATTCGAACCCACGATTCTTGGATTAGAATTCCAACGCGTGATCCATTGCGCTACAGGGACACAACGAGCGATTTTCCTTTTTATATATGGTGTTGGACTATTTAATTAAGGAATTAATATTTGAAAAAACTGTATCAACATCAAGTGCCATCAACTACAGGTTTAAAAAATGTATTTGAACTTGAGTGGATGAATAAAAATATTTTATAAGCGATTGAAAATTTGAACAAGGTATACATATACGAGGGCTGTTCAATAAGTAATAAGACTAAAATTATAAAAAAAACCAGAAAATCGTCATAATTTAAATGCTTTTAATCAAAATAACTTCCGCGGCACGTAATGCTTTTATCCCAATGTTCGGTCCACTTCTTAAAAGCCCGTAAAATTCCGTTTTGTGAGAGCTTTTTCAAAACCGCCTCCGCAGCCTTTACACATGCTTTGTTGATTGCAAAATGTTTTGTCCTCGTAATGGTTTCTGAAGCTGAGGAAACAGCCAGAAATCGCATGGAGTGAGATCAGGACTGTATGGAGGGTGTGGTAAAACCTCTACGTTGTTCTGCTGCAAAACATCCACTACGTAACGAGCAATATGTGGTCGGGCATTGTCATGGTGCAATAGGAAGCCATTTCGGAGCAATGGACGTTTCCTTTTAACGTGCTGTACCATTGCTCGTAGGACATTCACGCAGTACGGGCCGTTTACGGTAGTACAGGGTTCAAAAGCGTGTTGATACACAATTCCTTCATAATCATAAAAAATTATGGTCATACCGTTACCAGCCGATTTCATAGTTTTTGCTTCCTTGTGAGTAGGTAAAGATGGATGCTTCCATTCACTGCTTTGTTGTTTTATGGTTGGGTAATAGTGATACAACCAAACTTCGTCTCCTGTGATGAGGCATTTTAAGAAATTGTCGCCTTATTGTTCCAGTCTTTCTTTCTATTCTGCGCACACATCCACTCGATGCTGCATTTGCTCAGCTTTCAACAATTTCGTAATCCATCGCGCGCAAACACGTTTCAGTTACAAATGTTCTGTCATGATTGAGAGTACACTTCCTACAGAAATATTCAAGAGAGCATGCAGCTGACGTACTGTCATTCTGCGATCTTCCTTGGTGATAATCGTGTTGATTATTGAATCATCTGTTTTAATCTGTGATAGACGTTGAAGGTCGTCCATCCCGTTCAATATCTTCCACATTTTGCCTGCCTTCTTTAAAAACATTATGCCAGCGAAAAATACTTGCTCTCGACATTGCTTCATCGTTGAAAACTTCACGTATCATATCAATATCAAAGGTCTCCAATGCTGATTTTTGCAGACGAACACAAAATTTAATCCCACAACGTTGCTCCAACGACGCTTCCATTTCTACAACTAGCCGCGTCTCGCAGGCGCCCGCGAGTGAGTGAGTGAATATTAACGTCCCACTGTTCAGCTACACGAGGGCTTTTGGGGACAGTGGTCCGCGTAATTTTGAACCATGGTCAAGTGACGTGGACGAAACCTGAGCTAGCACCCCCTCTCCTAACTACCACGCCACATCAATAGGAGGACGTTTGAGCTCTCGATAGATTTAACATGCATCTCTCCCCTACACGGCAGGTCTTCAGTGGTACTGGGATCGAACTCATGACATGCTAGCCACAATCCGATGCCTAGACCACTTGACTACCGCGGCCTCTCGCAGGTACCCGCAAACACGCTTCAATTCAATCACGTGATACACAGAAACATGTGTCTGTACACGCCATCTATCGGTAGCTTTTGTTAATACAGACAACAAACTTTATTTATGCCACAGAAATTAACATTCCGATGAGTGGTTTCACGGCAGTAAAATTAGTCTTATTACTTAATTGAACAGCCTACACACACGCACGCATATATATATATATATATATATATATATGCCGAAATATATAAATATCCTAACAAACTCATGATTAAAGAAATTCATACATAAATAGGCGCAAAGCAGCCACATAAATGCATGAAGTATGTATGGAAGAAATTTATATAAAATATAGAACATAACAGGGGAAAAAAAATTAAGATAAAATCTAATTGAAAATCATTTCATTAGATTTGATCTTAAATTTTTTTTTCCTGTTATGTTCTATATTTTATATAAATTTCTTCCATATATATATATACATACAATCTTTAATTTGATTCTTTTCAGCCTATTTTCACCCTCAGTGCTCTTGTATAAAATTTTAGATATATTTCTAAGAAATTATTTCCTGTATTTTAGAAATTTATTTTTGTGAATTCATATTCAAAATAATGACGTGGCACATAACTGTTTCAAAACCATCATCCCCGTGCAGTATTTGTGACAGACAATTCCTTTCACATACCATTGTCTTTTAAAACCCAATATTGTGACAACTTCCATTTCAAAATATGACTCACCTTTAATCTCTGCTTCTCAGTGCACAGGGAAGCCTATTGGGGTTTCACATATTCCAAACGAGATACAATATCCTTCTTCTGAAGCCTCTGGCCTATCATATTTACAGCTTCAAGTGTCCGGACACGTCTCAACCTTGCCAAGTCTAGTTAACTTGGGCAAGTCAACTACTTCTCATACTAGACTAGGAAAGAACTAACTTCATATGTACCAACTAATATTTTTACAGGATATGTCATATACAATTATTTTTAAAATTTATTTTCTGTTTTCATTTTATTTCAAGTGTTTAATAATCTTATTTTAATATTTATGTATTGTGCAATTTTATATTTATAATTTACTAATGCATATTTGTTTCATATTTTATAACCACATATTCTCCTTGATCAAAATTATTTTCATGTGTTAAAGTGAAGAGAAATTTAAAATAAATATTAATTTCAATTTTAAAATTAATATCTCTGTATTGTACGGGTGTGGACCAAGGGCTCTGGTGCACACACGCGTCTTGCGGAGGGGAGAAATGTAATAATTCCCAGTAATATAATCCTTCTAAATATCTTTTAATTATCTAGTCCATCCCTTCAGGACCCACATTCTAGAAATAAATTAGCCAGCCGCCTAACGAGATTATTCTAAACTACATCTAGCTATCCACTCAGATCATGTGATTTGAGCCGCCTATAAAAACTGAGATTCCTGGAGACCCGCTCTCTTTCGCTTCTTCATTTGTCTGCCTTCAACATGTAGCCGGCTGCAGCTTGGTTTGTGTGTGTGTATTTTGTCATCCTTGTCTTTCTTTATGTGTTCAAGATGTATAATAAAACAGTTTTCATTAATAACAGGACTGCCTCATCAATCCCATATAAAGAAATACCTTTCACCGGTCTCGTCTATTACATTAGTCGGTAGGATACGAACCTACGCTTGAAAATCCCAATGGATGTCGAATAATTTTTAAAAAAATAAATGAGGGGGTAAAACCCATGATATTGAAAGAAATACTGGTGTAGAACCAGACACACAAGAAAAATTGCTGGAGTATAACCAGGTTTATAAAAAAATGCTGGGTAAAACCAGGCTTTAAATAAAAAAAATTTGCTGGGGTTAAACCAGGCTTCAAATAAAAAAAATTATATTGGTACCCCTACCTCATACTACACCATTTCATATGGAAAACTTTAAAACACATAAATTTCTTCAAAATATCATGGGTCTTACCCCCATCGTTTATTTTTTAAAAATTATTCTTTAGTCCCTACCACCATTGTACTGTTATTATGGTTTATTCTAATGTTTTTTTTTTCAATATCGTGAAACAAATTATTTTTATTTTTCTATTGTATTTAAATTAATTGATTGGGCAGTCAACTCCACGTATATATTATTGTGAATGTTATTATAAACTTACCTTTTTAAAAACGTTTCCAGGGATCTCGGCTTTACCTTTTGAAATTTCGGGTTAAATTTACTTAATGCTCCTTTTTTTTTTGAAGATAAAATGCATATATTTCATAATGATTATATTTGAATTTGATATTTAATATGAGAATCGATAACTTACAGTGTTTTTAAGAGTTTTACTGAATTAATACCAAAGTTTTGATATTTTTATTTTGAAAATTTTATGTTAATACTATTTGATATATTTAATGTGGTTTTAAGAATTTTTGGTTACTATTAGATATACTCTTCATTAGAATGATACAATTTATTTTATATGAAAATCATCAACTTTAATGTGTTTGAAATAATAATGGTTTTAAGAGCACTTAGGCTGAGAAAATATTAATAAAAAAAATAAAAATAAATGAGCAAATGTTTACATTTTGAAGAAATAATAAATAAGAAGGGTTTTTGTAAGGATTGTGCATAGTGAGTACCTCAAAGGAAATACACATTTGATTGTCAAAATACTATTGCCTCCAAACTTGTACCAGAATAAAAGTATAATATAAATAAAAATAAGTTATGAATAAAAAAAATTTCTTTGGTTGACTTGCAATTTCCACTCTTAGGAAATTTTTGTTTTTGAAGTTATTGTGCAGCATATACACGATAAGAAGTAAAACTTGTCTTAATGATTGTGCAAGGCGTCTGTCAATCTTTAATTTGATTCTTTTCAGCCTATTTTCACCCTCAGTGCTCTTGTATAAAATTTTAGATATATTTCTAAGAAATTATTTCCTGTATTTTAGAAATTTATTTTTGTGAATTCATATTCAAACTAATGACGTGGCACATAACTGTTTCAAAACCGTCATCCCCATGCAGTATTTGCGACAGACAATTCCTTTCACATACCATTGTCTTTAAAAACACAATATTGTGACAACTTCCATTTCAAAATATGACTCACCTTTAATCTCTGCTTCTCAGTGCACAGGGAAGCCTATTGGTGTTTCACATATTCCAAACGAGACACAATATCCTTCTACTGAAGCCTCTGGCCTATCATATTTACAGCTTCAAGTGTCCGGACACGTCTCAACCTTGCCAAGTCTAGCTAACTTGGGCAAGGCAACTACTTCTCATACTAGACTAAGAAAGAACTAACTTCATATGTATCAACTAATATTTTTACAGGATGTGTCATTTACAATTATTTTTGAAATTTATTTTCTGTTTTCATTT